CATAGATTTCTGTGTCATAAAATTAAATCTGTTCTCTTGCAAACACTGACTAAAACAATATCCAGTATCAGATCTTGCTCTTTATATTCTGATTTTTAAAATTAATGATTCAGAATGGCATGAATAATTAGAAGTAATTAAAATAAATGTGATTGGTATTGTTCACATACACTAACAGTCATAATACTCTTCTTATTAAATGTGAAACCGAGCATTTAAATCAGATGGTTCAGGGCTGGGGATTTAGCTCAGTGACAGCATGGCATGTGTCTGAGTTCCATCCCCAGTACTAAGTAAATAAACAAACAAATAAATAAATAGATGGTTCACTTTCAGATCCAGTATCCAGTGTACTTTCCACTAGCCTAAGCTGTCTTTCAATTTCAATTATATGGTCCACAGTGTAAGGAAAAACCATAATTTCAGGATTTTCTAAATGCAACAAAAACAAAGTGAGCAAAACAATAAAATAAAATAAAAAAGGAGAGTGAAAGGTAAATGTCTTAGGTACTAGTTGCTGAGAAAAATACTTGACACCCAAAGTTAAAAGAGGAAAGGTTTATTTAGCTCAGTTTGTAGGGGTCTAAGTTCATAGTTGGCTGGCTCTAAGACAAGGTGGCATTGGAGAGGAGAAACGATTCATGGTGGGCAGAAGGTATCAAAGCAATGAGACAACTACATCTCTTTCTATACCTTATTTCTTATCCAGGGTACTTAGGGTAGGGGTAGCACTCACACCTCTAATCCTGGTGCCCTTGAGCCTAGCATTGCACCATGAATTGATCCCAGCTTCAAACACTCTAAATCCAGCCACTTCTGAAAAAGCCCCTCCTATAACTGCATGAGCCTTTACAAACCATGACAGATGACAAAGGTAGGGAAAGGAAGAGGTTCTACTATTTGATTAAAGAATTGCAAACTGGAATGACAAATCAAGTTTCAACTACAGTTAAGGAACCAATAACCTCAGAGGACCCGTGGCAGTTAATTATAAAATGATCTTTTCATTTGTAAATAATTTTATTGTCATGATCCACTTAGTAGTAAGAAATGGGATACTTTTTACTTTTTACAGAAGTGCTTCTGCAGGACAAAAAAAATATAAAATATAAAAATAATAGATTAATGACCTACATTCCATGAGGAAGGAACTTGGTTTTTGCATTAAAGAAAATATATTTATCTTTTGGTAAACAAATGGAGAAAGTCAAACTCCAGAAAAATATCCACAATGAAGAAAGTACGACTGTTTGACAAAGAAGCTTTGGGAGGTTGGAGCCCAGGAGGAGGAGGTCAGACACAGCACTTTGTTCTGAATCCCAAACTGGGCTAATGCAAGCTGCTCTGGGCTGATTGCACTGCTGGGTGAAGAACAGATCTGACCCAAGCTGATAACCAGGGCCAAGTCCCACAGCCTCCAAACCACCCCACCCAGGCAAAAATGTAAAAGACTCCTCTTTTTAAAAAACAGCTCTCAAAAAGTTCTTATTTAAAAATTTCTCCATTTTTAAACTCCAACATGAGCACTAGATAACATTTAAGATAAGAGGTCTTTTTGCAGTTAACACTATCCAATTTAACTTTGACCGCTTGAGCTCCTCTAAGTTTATTTGTCCTTTAGCTTTGAAAATGTGTACATTACTCACATTTTCAATTCTTTAATACAAAAGGAGGATATCCTCTCTTTCCTTCTTTTTACATTAATCGTCTGTGATTAGCACTTGTGTCTCATGTAAGCCCTCAACACTCAGGTACTGCACTGTGTGGCAGTTTTATAGATGGTGCACATTTTTGCTCCAGGGGTGTCTACTGTGCATTGTTTATTTGTCTTTTCTAAGCCAGATCTTTATGTGACCAGAATCAATGAGCAGTTATAGGTAGTGATAAAAGTAAAAAAGGGAAATTCAGAAAGTGTTAAGCCTCTAAGGCATAAAGTTTTGTCAGTATGCTCCTCAATTTATCCCAAGGAAAGGCCTTGATACTTGGACTAATAGTGGTAAACAATGTTCAGACCCTCGATAATCTGCATGAGTTTCAAGAGAGTGGGAATTCTGGGTAAGACTGACTTTCAAGTCAGCAGCTGTCAGAACAGCAGCAGGAGAGCTGTCAGAGCAATTTCTACTGTGAGTCACTGCTGGCTATAGTAACTGAAACCTTGAAGAATTCTTCTGTTTTGACATCAAACCTCTTCTCTGAATGGCTTCTGTGGACTTCAACATTGTTTCCTTGCTCTATGGCTCTTATCTACTTTTTAAAAAATATAATAAGAATGCTTAACTTGCGATCTACCCATTGAAGTTTTATAAGTATATATAATTAATACCAGATCATGTAAAGGTACACAGTTGCACACCAGATCTTCAGAACTTAGTCAGTTTCCATGACTGATACTTTGCATGCATGAAAGAGCAACTCCCTATTTTCCTCTCCACCAGAGTTGACAATCGCTATTCTACTCTCAGCTTCTGAGTTTAACCTTTTTATTTACTTTATATGAGTGGTATCATTTGTCCTTCCATGTCTAACTTATTTCACTTAGCATAACTTCCCCAATGTTCGCCAATGTTGCCCCAAATGTCAAGATTCCCTTATTTTCAAAGACTGAATAACATACATTGTATTTATATATCACATTTTCATTATTTGTTTGTAATGTATGCTTTGGTTGGTTCTGTATCTTGGGTATTGTGAGTAGTACTTAATAAACATTGGACTACATATATTTTTCTCTTTCTTTTTTATTTTTTTAAAGATAGGGTCTCACTATGTAGTTTAGACTAGCCTTGAACTTGGTACATAACCTAGGCTGGTCTCAAAAACACAGTTATCCTCCTGCCTCAGCCTCCCAAGTGCTGGGATTACAGGGTTGCACCACCATGTCAAGCTCTTGAAATGCATACATCTCTGTGAGATACTGATTTCAATTCTTTTGTATTTATCCCCAGAGGTAGTATTGCTGGATCACCTGGTAGTTTTATTTTCAATCTTCAGTAACCTCATACTGTTTTCCATAATGGCTGTACAATTTTACATTCCCACCAACAATACACAAGGGTTCTAATTTCTCCACATTCCTGACAATATTTATTATCTCTCTCCTTTGTTTTTTTCTATAGTAGCCATTCTAAGAGGGGAGAGATATCTCATTGCAGTTTTTGTTTACATTATCCTAATTAGTGATTTAAGCATCTTGTGTATCTTTTTGTTTTATGTATATCTTCTTTAGAAAATGTCTATTTAAGCCTTTGTTCATTTTGAAATTTTGTTTTGCAGTTAGTGTTCTGTTTGCTATTAATTTGGAGCAATTCCTTATGCATTTTGCATATTAATCCTTTATTAAATGTATTCAAATATTTTTTCCATTGCTTAGATTGCCCTTTCATTTTGTTGATTGATTGTTTTGGTGCACAGAAGCTTTTTAGTTTGATTTAGTCTGAATTGTTATCTTTGTTTTCTTTGCTTATGCTTTCATTTCCATACACAAGAAACCACTGTGAAGATCAATGAAGCTGTCTCCCATGTTTTCTTCTAGGAGTTTTGTAAGATTTCATTATATTCAAATCAAATTTAATACAGAGGTAGAAACACATATCTAGAAAAGCAACTATATCACATGCTCTACTGAACCTCGGTCTGAAGTTGAGGTGAAGAAAAGAAATTATTTTATCTGTATCTAAGAAGTTGGAAGCAACATCTATAAAGTAATTATCCTACATTAATTTGTACATTAGCACAATTAATTTACACTAATTTCTTGTTTTTAGAGGGTGCTGCAAAAGATACATCATCTCTATTTTTGTTCAAGAAAGTCTCTGAAAGCCAAAGTATCATTCTATTGTTATCACTAAGTATTCACATAAAGAATCAAATCCAGTGTCAACATGACTGTTATACCATTCTGCAATTCATTCATCAACATTTCTGATTTCTTTCCCTGTATTTCAGGATCACTCACCAAGACTATTAAACATATAATTAATCTGTGACCAAAGTTATAGTGTAGCTTAACTGGTAAGACTGTTCATCATGGAAAAAAAAAGGGTCTCTTCAATATACAATGTTAAGAAAATTGCATATCATCATGGAAAAAAAAAAGGAAATTGGACATTTCTCTCACACCATACCCAAAAAACAACTCAAATCGGACTAAAGATTTAAATGGGAGACACGAAACTATAAAATGCCTAGAATAAAACATGACATTAATTGGTCATAGAGATAATTTCTGGGATATGGAATAAAAGCATAAGCAACAAGGGAAAATGGAATAAAGTTTGCTGTGGATAGCCTGAGTGCTTTGTAGGAGGAATTGAAATCATCCTATTATTTTCATTTTGCTTGTTTAGTTCACTTTAGTAAGGTTGCTTGAAATAACTTGGCCTTTGAGAACAATTTCTGCTTCCTCTTTTTTTCTCCACCAAAATAATATATAAATAGTATGTCTTTTATACCATATATTAAAAATAAGTCCCATTTTCAGTTATTTGTGATGCCATTAGTTTATTCAGTGAAGTATCCTAATTGTTGTTTCATGAAATGCAAAATAAACACATTCATTTATCTTACTTTTTTGTTTCTTCAGTTTGAATGATTACAGGTGCAGCTAAATAATACTTTTGAAAATCTGACCTATGAAGCCAGAAATACAATTGTTTCTTTGTTTTTAAAAAGACTCTACAGCAAATTTCAGGGTAATTTCTTGACTTGAAGGCTGTTACAAATCTGCAGTTAGATCTTGATGAAGTTGTTGAACTCTCTTTCCTAGAAAACATCAGAAGAATCTGTGTGTGACCTGAGTTCATACACTTCTGGCCCTACAAAGTCAGGAGAAAGAGCAACCAGTAACTCTTCTGTGTTAATGATTCTCAGCCTTTTATAGAATCTAAGATCAAAGATACAAAGCACAATCTTAGTATAGCTGTTGTCTTAAAACTGCAACTGACTTTTCTTCCTACTTTTTCACCTGAAAAGTTTGCATTCATTTTTTTGAAGTATTGTTGCGAAAATGAGACTAACAGCCCCTTCCTTGAATGTGCTGAGTCATCTTGCATCTGTGAACGTTAGAAGCTGCCTCAGCTGAGTATGTCTCCTGAAGATAAAGTTGATTGTCTACAGTTGGCGGGATGATGCTGAGACTTTTTTTTTTTTTTTTTTTTTTTTTTTTTTTTTTTTTTTTTTTTTTTTTTTTTTTTTTTTTTTTTTTTTTTTTTTTTTTTTGGTCGTCACCAAATTTACAGTCATTTTTGAGTGCAACTAAAGAATTCCATGTGAATTCTCACTGTCTGTCTCTCCTAGATACATTTCATCTTGGCAAGTTCTAGACCTTTAGGAAAAGCAGAGCAATTTACAAAGGAAACCGTGAGTACTTATTCAAGTCTCTTCAATGCAGTCTGTCACTAACTTTATTAAGAAAGCTGTTTCATTTGAAGTCTGTACTATTTTTACAGTGTCATTAGAAATTCTTATTTGATTTTTAAGAAGTAGAGAATATTAATTCTTTTAAATGTTTAAATTTAAATGCTAATTTACATACAGCAACCAAAACTTAGAAATGACAGAAGTTAGTTTACATATAGCACAACCAAGGTACCTAGGAACAAAGGAAACTTGATAAAGATTTGAGTCTCCATGGACTAATTTAATATGACAGCCATATTAGTAAATGCTCCCCACAGAGAAACAACAGAGAAAAATAAATATAGTAAAATTCAAACTCTGTAGTGAGAATTCAGGAGAGAGTAAAGTAGGGAAACAGTGCTTAAATCATAATGAAAGAAGTTCACTTTTGGAAATTTTGCCAGATATTGTCACTCAGGTTGGATTCCTCCAAAGAGAGGGTTATTTTTTGTTATTTTACAATATAAAATTTTCAAAAAACAATTACTGAAATATTAATAATTTGAAATGTATTGAATCAGTAAAAGATGCTAAATTTGAATGTGTAATGTTTTCAGTTAAAGCAGATGAAAATAAAAATAACATATTAGCCATGCTACTAAGTAAATATTTCAAAAAATTTTGAATAATTATGTTAATTACAAACCATTTCTATTATTTAGTAAATTAATTTCAGGATGATCAGCACTTGCTAATTTTAGCATTTCAATGCCATAAAATTATATTACTTTTTGATCTACCTAAAATTCCAAATTCCTAATTTAGACTTGTTCTATCATGAGTCCAATTGCATTTTATCTGTAGAATAAATGTTGCACACATTTATTTGAGAAGTTGGGAATGTCTTTCATATGATTAAGAGTTATTAGTCTAAACAATAGCTATATATGGTTAAATTTATATAAATATATGTAGCCTTCCAAATAAACATTTAAAGGCTTAAAGACTACTTAAATATAGATTTAACATAAGTAAATGCCTGGGGAGAGCAGTAGACCTAAGCTTTTTAATTTTACATTTGTTTTTAAAATTTTTCTAAAACTCTCAATTGATGCATAATACTTATATATTTATGAGACACAGTATGATATTTCAGAATAGATAGAGGCTTTTTAACTTGCAGGTTATGGAGAGCAGTGGGCCAAAGGTTTTGGAGACAGCGGAAGAAATCCAGCAGAGGCGTCAGGAAGTGCTGAATCGCTACCAGAGGTTCAAACAACGGGTTGTGGAGCGGGGTCAGAAGCTCGAGGAATCCTATCACTACCAGGTTTTCAGGCGAGATGTAGATGACCTGGAAAAGTGGATCTTGGAGAAGATCAAGATCACAGAGGATAAAAACTATAAAGAAACACCTACGACCATAAAGGTCAGTTCCAGACACTTCCCTAGCCCAGACCTAAAACTCGAAGAAGAGAAACAGGTTTTTCTTTATGTTGATGAGGACAGATGGGTCAGAATAAAATCTCATTCTATTGAAAAAACAAAAGAAGTAGGTGGAGTGTGAACTTTAAGATGAAATTAAGAGAAAACTAAAGGTGCATCTCCTTAGCAAACTGGAGGAGTGAGAAAAGAAAAAACTGGTGAGAGTTGAAACACTGAACTGTTTCTTATAAAAAAAAAAAACTTATAGTAACAACACTTTCTTGTAAGAAAAATGGATAGCTGGTTAACTATAAAAGAATGAAAGATTTGGCTATCAGGATGCTAGTTCATTTTCTAAATGACATATTCTCAACTTTTTAAACTTCATTTGATTTTCAAAGAAAACTCCAGATAGTATTCCATGGTAGCTTGAAATACTTTGAATTTAACAAATTCATGAAAAAGAGTAAATGTTTAAGAAAGCTCTGACATATCATGTGATTTCAGTATTGTGTGACATTAATAACAGACTAGTGGTAAAGAATCATCAGTATTTCTAAAGCAAATACTCTCTATTCTCTTCAGAACCAAGGCTTTTGCTGTTTTTCCTAAACTGCTATCAGTGGCTTTTATTAATTTCAGCTGAAAGGTGCTATGAGGAGAAGTTTGGTAGAAAATTCTACAACTGCCTGTGGACCTCATATCATAGCATGTGGCATCATCCTCATCAGAAGCAAGGGGGCACATGCTAAAGGTTAATTGATACATGGCAGTGGGCACCTGGAACAAGATCTAAGTCATGCATCTCAAATGAATTAATTCACACATGAAGCGAGAGCTCATTATGTGTGTTTACAAAGCACCATCTTCATTGTGTTATACGTTCAAAACATCTCAGCTATTCCCATTTTCCAAAGAACACTATGTGCAACATACTTTTATTCCTGTAGGGATCTATGAGGCCTTTTAAATGATAGAGTATTTACTGAAGATTTTTCAAAGGCAAAGGGATGCAAAAAGATTCTCTGGCCTCTGACTTTGAACCTGGAACACTTTGACTATCTGTGTTTAGTGGCTCTACCTAGAGTGATCATTGCTTTAGAATACGGCTATTTTAAATGTGGCCATAGATTGATTTAATCCAGCTTGGGAAGCATGTAGTTCTGCCTAACAGTAACAGGAGGAGAACAAAGTACATTTTATGGTCTAGAGATACTATGCTTCATTAGCTGCAAACTCTATTTTTCTAAACTTCAGGAACCTACATACCCCAAGGGAGAACTACAAGCAGAATCAGAAGTCATTCCTGAAATGGAAGAGTACAAAAACTCCCTTGTTGCTGAATCTCAATTAGTCTATCAGGATATCAAGGTAAACATATAATAGAGGTTTCCAGGTTATGCTTCTGATTTCTTTTTGTTGTCACAATTTTAATTGATTATATCAGCTATAAGGGTTGATAAACTGGCTTCGAACTGCTTCTGGTACTCTGTTGGATTGAGGTAGAATAAATAATGGGATATCGTGTTGTTCACTGGAGTGGGAAAAAGAACTTAGGTATATAAGGTATAATTGGATGGTAGTATGTGCCTGCTTATGCCAAATTATGCAGCTTAAATTCAACCTACTTCAACCTGCTCCACATTTCTCAGATGAATTCGATTTTCTACGGTCTTTATAATGACTTCTTTTGAAAGTCATTCTTTTTCTCCTTGCCTCTTTAAATCTTTGAGTGATTGATATTCTCCCATATGAATCTTCTTGCCATCTTTTCTCTTTGTGTATTAAGGCTCTTTTCTTTATTTTAGCACACCACACACCTTTGGATTATGAGTCTACTTATCTAAACTCTTCTTTTCCCTTTCTTCAAAAAATTTCTAAAACTTGTAACCTCAGAAAATCTTCCTAGAATTCCTGAAAAGTAGTGGTAACCACTACTCATTCAGGGTTTACTCCTGTTATCCATTACACATTTATCATTTATTTCTGACATAAACCATGTACTTTCCAAATATATGCATTGACACAGCGAGTTCAGAACCTCTGTGTGAGTGAAGGTTTACTCTTTAGGTAGTTTTAATTTTTTACAACATTGGGATTGGTGTTTCTGTATGTAGCAGGAAAATTCCATTTTACTGTCAGCAAAATGTGATCATAAAACAGACTATACCAGAAAAAAATTTTAGAAAGTATTCATAATAAGAAAATATGTATAATTTTGAATTATTCCATTTTGTGTGTAATGAATCCTCCAGCATAATTAAAAAATAATTTTTTGTGGGTGCCTAATTTTATTTGCTAGAAGCGAATCACTAAGTCCCATATTCACACAAGGGTGTGAATACCAGGAGGCAGAGGTCACTGGATACTGTACTACCAGAGTCAGTAACTTTATTTAATATTAGAGATGACATCTGAACAGAAATCTAAAGGGAGAGAGGGAGAAGAGCTAGCCGAGGAAGTAGCTAGTGCAAAAGCTGAGAAGGGTGTACTCCACAATGAGGTCAGAGAGGTGGCCCTGGGTTCAATAAAGTAGAGTTTTATGTGGGTTGTTGTGAAGAATTTGATTTTAATTTTGAGGCTTTTGGGAAGAAAGGTGCCATGATTTATGTTGTAAGGGAATCACTCTGGTTGTACTGTAGAGAACAGGTTGGGAAAGTGAACATTAACAGAAACAATGGGGTCAATTAGTGGGCTATTGTATGAATCCAGTCAAGCAATGATCATGGCCTGCTTGGGATATTCCAAAACCTGGAATAAACAATAATCTATGGCCAATGGATCATCATTTAATCCAAGTCTTGGAGCATGTAGTTCTATGTGAAAGTAATAGGAGAAGCATATAAACTACCTCGTGTTCCAGAGGCAGTATCCTTCATCAGTCATGATTTTTGATTTCTAAACCTCAGGGAAAACATCTGAAGCATGAAGCCTTTGCCGGAGAGGTACAAGCAAAATCCAAAGCCCTTCCTGAACTGGAAGAAACCAGGGAAACCCGATTCACTGAGGATCATTTTGCTCATGAAGATACCAAGGTGAATGTATAGTAGGGATCTCAAAGAGAAGGTTCTAGTTGTTGATTATATTATGAGAGCTTCGGTTGATTTTGCCAGATATAAGTTTTGGTATTTTTGGCTTAGAATAAGGATTCCTGCTTCTTGTGTTCCATTGGTGTTGTGGCAGAAGAAATGATGGGATCTCATTGTATTCAGTAGGGTGGGGAAAGTACCTGGGTGGGGAATATCTCACTGGATGGTCTCCTATTTTTCCTAATGTCATGTGGGATAATTTGGCTCAAGATGAATAACACTTCAACCTGTTTTCTGTTTCTTTGATTGTTTGGCATTTTCAAGTGTTTTTTTTTTTCTAATTATTTAGTCTCACTTCACTGTCCCTGTGTCTTCAAATATGTTATGTTCTCCCATTTGAATCTTTTCTGAATTTTTCTCTTTCATCTATGAAGGCTCTTTCTTTTCACACACTACTTCCTATAACTACTCTTCTATTTTTCTGAACTCTCTTTTCCACTTATTTCGAGTAATCCTTACAATCTTATCTTTACAGGGAAAAGGGGCTTTGAACACCTAAATGTAAAGATATCCACCGTTTCAATAGCATTTACTGCTCTATTACCCAGTATTAGTGTATCATTTATTTTCTTACTTAGCTCATGTACTTTTTTAAATGTATGTAGTTATAAAGTGAATTCATGATCCTTTCATGTGACTGAACTTTTCTTTGCCTATTTTTACATTGTCAAAAGACATTTCCATTACATATTTTAAAATCTGTCCTGGTGTTTTTTATATAGCATAAAAATTATTTCCTATCCTATTAGTAGCAAAATATATCCATACAATACAGGCTTTAACCAAAAAATAATTTTCAAGAAAAAAAATCATGAAAAGAAAATCTCCAAGTTTGTCCATTTATATAAAATATAAATAATTTTATATTATTTAGTCTTGTGTATAGTCTCCCACGTTAATCAAAACATTTCAGAAATGTTTAAAACATCTTCCATCTGTCAGAATGACTAAGACTATAATGAACAGAGTCATGGTTAGGTTCAGAAAGAAGTGTGCTCCACATTTGAGCAATAGAATAGTTGAAAAGTCTAAGGTTCTTGAAGATATGATATATTTGGTAACTTTAGTTTTATAAAATATGTAATAAATGATGTTCTGAACTAATCTGGCATCCAAAATCCTGTATATAAATTCAAACTGTATACTCCGTAATAGTCTTACTCTTTTGTTACCATAGATTGCTAACTCAGCAAAATTTGGCTAATAACTCAGAAAAATTTAGCTTTTATTCTGTTACCATAGATGCTTTTGTACTTAGGATACTCACTGCCTGTCTTCCTGTTCCTTAAGACTCTGTGTGAGTCATCTTCTATACACCTTTCCTCTTACCCATTTTATTGCTTATAGTTCATCTATCCTCTAAAACCCCAAAACATTTTAACAGACATTTCTCTCCTGGAAGATCATTTTGTTTCAATGTAATAAACAATTGCATACACATCTAATTCTTAAATTAATGCATAAATGATGGAATTAAGCATTTTTAACTAGGCGTTTTCCTAGGTGTTCTAACTAGGTGTTTTTCTGAGTCTGTATCCATTTCATAGTCTCTATGCCTCAGTACTTCTGCTCTCTTCCCTAAAGACCCATCTGGAGGAACTACGCCGCCTGTGGGATCTCCTGCTGGAGCTGACCAAAGAGAAGAGTGACTGGTTACTGCAGGCCCTGAAATTCTATCAGTACTTCCTGGAGTGTGGTGACATCTTGGAATGGATCAAGGAGAAGGTATAGGACAGATAGGGCCTCCCATCGCTGTGGCCCAGCAACTCCATAGAAATTCACTGCACACTATTCACAGAGAAGCCAGAGTGTCTGTTTCTGGACATCATTTCTTAAGACAAGAGTAATTTTAGCAATGAGTTAAGGATATTCTGGAGATTAAATGGGTAAGTCTAAGCCTGTGGATCTGAATGTGAAGACACAGTTCACACAAAGAACTTGCCTAGGAATATTGTCTAGGCTCATTCCCCTTCCTCTTTTCATGATCTTTAACTCCTTTTCCTGGGTTTCTGCTCATTTGTTGGGGCCTGACTGAGAGTATTTGCAGCTCTTTGTCAAATCCCTGTCTCTCTCATTGCTTGAGTCTCTCTCGGGTGGATTTATTTTTATTTTTTTAAATAGTACCTATAAAAGCATATTAGAGTAGAACCAGGATGAATTGCTTCCTCATCTCCCAAAACATGAAGAGTAGGGGGCTCTTATATTCTGGATTTCACTGATAGAAAACCCAAGGTCTGTCTCCCCTGTCCAAGCTGCTACCTACTAATTATATTCCTGCTCTGACTTTTCTGGAGAGGGTTCTTGTAGGCTTCTTACTATTTCATCTGCATTATCCCAAGATTACAAACTAGGGTTTGGGACTTTTGACCTGCTGGAAATCTTCAAGGTTTCTGGTGACTCAGTAAACTTTCCTCCGTCTACAGAAATCTATAGTGACATCTACAGAGCTGGGTGAGGCCTGGGAGCGCACAGAATTTTTGCATAAGAAGTTTGAAGAGTTCCAGGAGGAGCTGTCTGCTCGAAAGAGGAGAGTGGACGAAGTGAACAGATATGCCAATGAGTGTGCTGAGGTGAGGCAGAGGCGGAAGAGTCGTTCCAGGGAAAGTTTCTCTGCCCAAAAGCTCTTGGGATATGGGGTGTACATGTTACAGGTGTAATACTCTTGGGAAGTTTCTTCGTCCCATGGCAGTCATCTTTTGTCAGTCAATGGAAATGCAAGTGTGAGGCTACATTTGTGTGTCTGCGTGTGTGTGTCTGCGTGAATTAAATCCATTAGAAAGACTCTCCCATGCAGTGGATTGATTACTCATCTTTATGCATGCATTTTGTTTCTTCATGAAAAGAAATAAAGTAGCACAGAAAGTAAAATAATGTTCATCAATCTGCCTAGCAATGCATATTACTATCATTATACATTATTATCTTCAGGGGTTGGAAGGGGAAGAGGCATGTTTACATCATTTACTTAAGAAGCACTTATGAAATTTGGCAAAATCTGAGCAAAGATGCAAGGTGGGTATAAATGACCCTACCATATAAAAGAGACCTGTTGGCAGGCTCATCCAGTGCTATGGGCGTGGAGGAATACAAAGCCTGGTAGTCTGGTGTTCTAAGTTTTAATTACATCTATTGGGTAAGCCAGAGGACAGGACTGTGGTGAAGGTCAGGGTCTTGTTACAGTGGTCACTGTCCACTTCTAAACAAATATGTACCACGTAAGGTGCTGAAATTACTTTTAATGTAACTTCATCTTTGCATAAGTTCACTGTTGAAACCCTTCCACAGGAGAAGCATCCTGACCTGCTCGTAATAAAGTTAGAGCAGGATGAGGTGAATGCTGCCTGGGAGGATCTCTGTAATCTGGCTTTCCAGAGAAGGGAAACTTTGTCCAGTGCTGCAGACCTTCAGCGATTCAAAAGGTATAACTATGGCTACCTTGTAATAGCATCACATTTACTTGCATTAGCCTCTGTCTTAGTCATTTACCTTGTTTACAAAATACTTGATCCTTACAACTTAAAGAAGGAGAATTTTATTTTCCTCATGGTTACGATCCATAGTCGCTTGGTTTCAAGCCAGAGACAGCATGCAGAGGGCCATAATGATGGAAAACTCATGTTGGAAGAGCTGTGGAGGGAGATAAACCCTCCCAGGTTGCTCACAGCAACCCACCTCTTCTGGCCTCCCCTCCAACTAGCACATTATCCACTGAGTGTGGCATCCCTATGACACAATCCCATTCCAGACGCATGAGACGTTTGGGGGCTGCTTTAAACCTAAACCCTGACAGCCTCCATCTACTCCTGTTTGCAATTCACAATCATTACTTCAAGTCAAGGTGCGTCAAGCATTTGCATTTGAAACAGCAAGGAAATTAAGAAAAATGAGAACCACTAAGTAGCCAATTACGGGAGGGAGGTTGGAACCCAAAGCAACTTAAAAAAAAATAGCAGTAATTACTAGTGATAAAAGCTCTGTAGAAGAGGAAAAAATAAGTAAGACTCAAGTGAGGTGGAGTTGGAGAGGAAAGGTATTCATGAATAGTTGACTCTGATAGGGGAAGTAACCCTGGATACTCAGCCATCAGAAGGTGTCATGTCCCCATGGAAACAACCAATAAATAGGAGCTTTTAAAAATCACCTTTGCTGGTCTGTAGGAGGGCAGGGAGCTTGGGACCTGGGTGAACTAAGCCTATGCATGCTGTCTGATCCGTTGTTCTGTTTGTCTTGCGATGCCGTTGTTCGTTCTGTTGGAGTTTACATGAATGTCTGGTAGGGACGTGACGGAAGCCATCCAGTGGATCAAAGAGAAGGAGCCTGTTCTCACCTCCGAGGACTATGGCAAAGATCTTGTTACTTCTGAGGCCCTGTTTCACAGTCACAAGGGACTGGAGAGAAACCTTGCCGTCATGGAGGACAAGGTAAGAAGCCACTTTGCCGGAATAGCTGGATCCTCATGTTAAAAAAGATATTTGGCAATCATCTTGCCTCGCTCTAACACCAACATCAACAAAAGACACAATAAATTCACTTTTAAGTGAAGGAGAAATTCTGTGGCACTTGAATATATTTCCTCAGTGTAGTTCATACTTGTTTATAGATACTGGAAATTTCTTATCCTTATTCACAGTGTTTTAATTGAAATTTATGCATATGCTTTATATTCTCTTGTATTTTGTATTATATTTCATAATTTAAGAACATAAGACAATAAAACCTCCAAGATGGCCCCATAATCTCTCGGTGGCCACAGTCTTTCCTTTGAGTGCTTTTTTCTTATGGAAGCTGCATCTTGTTTGTTTTAATCTTCACTCTGTAGACTGGGAAAACATTTTCTTCTTCCTTTTATAATAAACTCTGATATACTGATGCTAAACCCATCTTTATGTTCTCTCAAAAGCTGGAAAAGCCTAGTTCCTATATTTAAAGGACCAGAAATTAGTATACTCAAATTCAGAGCATGCCCATATCTCTAAGTGATTCCCACCTTTTATTTACCTCTCAACGTTAGCCACAATTGAAAACAATTACTACTGAGTGTCCGCAGAAGTGTCAGTCACAGAAAGAGCCAGGCGTGCTGTGCTTTAACTACAGGCGAACTCTGGGCAGTTCCTCCAAACTTCCACCATGCCTCATTCATTTTTCCTTATTTTTTTTTTTACTTTGGTCCTTTTATCTAATGATAAATAATAAAATCTAAGACTTGGTGAACAATGATAATGAGGTGTCAAATCTCCACAATCCTAGATTTCAGCTGTATATGAGAAAATACTCTAACAGGTAGAGAGTCCCCATATCCATATTTTGCCACAAGAACCCTGCTTTTGAAGAATTGTCCCTGAAAAGGTCTGGTATTACTACAAGTTCCTTAACCTTTGGGGCAGGTATGTATTTCTGGTGCCTACAGTACTATTTAGGGATACAGAGAGATAGTGAGGGACAGACTTAGGTCAAAACCTTCCTTCTGACCCTAGCTGAATGACTGAGCAAAGAGAGCACTTTACCTCCACTGACACATAAAAGGAAAATAAAGATGGCTTCTACCTTAAGATATTATGAAATGAATATTATACAATGAGCAAATGCATGTAATGTGCTGAACATGAGAGAGAAAATGTATTCAATAAATTGTTACTAATATAATGGATTAAAAATTAATAAAATACGTTAATATAAATATCAATTATTAGTCATATGATTGTTTTATATGAACCTGGCCAGGAATCAGAGTGCTTGGACATTCTACTAGATTTCTCTTCCATTCCAAAGGTAAAAGAGCTATGTGCCAAAGCAGACAAGTTGATGATCTCCCATCCTTCGGATGAATCTCAGATCAAGCAAATGAAAGAAGATCTGGTCTCCCACTGGGATCATATTCGTGCCTTGGCTACTACCAGATATGCAAAGCTGCAGGCTTCTTATGGGTAGGAAATTTCTCTCCTCTATTGTTCTGTTTATCGGTACAAAGCCCACACATCATATCAAAAGCAGAAGATGAGTGCGAGGAATAACATAGAGAGGGACGAGGGCTCTCCTGCTTGGTAAGTTGAGGAAAATGAAGTTTTAATTTTCTGAGGGACATTTGTTAAGCAATGTAAGACTCAGCATCCCACGTCTGCCCACTCACATCTCCCTGTTTTCCCATTTGTAGGTCTTATAAAGTAACCTATAATGCTGGAGAGCTCCTGGCTCTCGCTAAGGAGCTAAAATAAAATAAATTTTTTCAAAGGAAGAATATAAAAATAACGCCAGAACCATCATTGAACTATAGGTTAAGAGCTTACAAAGTCTGTAATAACCAAGTGTCATTTTAATAGTTAACTCTTATGGTCAGTAGTGAAATCACCAGAAGATAGTGTTTCTCTTATTGTTGCAATTTAAAACCAAGTACCAAACACTTGTTTTGATTAGATAACCATTTTTAAGAGTTCTTATTTTTTATTAATAGTGTTAAACATGAGCTGAGATACATAAAAAAAGAATCCTAACTCTAATTCTAGCCCTTTTTTCCACAAGGAGCTTTCTGTCATTTACATGATGTGTATTTATTTATTGGCTGCATTGTGAATATTTTAGTTCATTACAAGTACCTCTGGGTAACAAGACCTTGTTGTGGTAGAGATTCAATATCCATAAACAGGATGGTGTCACACAATGACACGCCTGTCCTAGGACATACACCCTGATGTGAAAGACTTGCAGCCTGGACCAGGAAAAGAACTCTGTTAGTAACAGGACATACATCAGGGGGAGGGAAGGGATCAGATTAATCATGGAGCACCTCACATATCTTAGTTCAGCCCAACGCTTGGTTCAAAGTCCTTTCACATCTGGTTTTGCTCTTCTGTCCTTCACCTCAACTTTTCCCCAGCTACCATCGATTCTTATCGGACTATGATGAGCTCTCAGGCTGGATGGATGAAAAGACTGCTCTGATCAATGCTGATGAGTTGCCAACGGATGTAGCTGGTGGGGAAGCCCTGCTAGACAGACACCAGCAGCATAAGGTGGGGACAAAGCCCTTGTCAGGAGCAGGAAGAAGAAGGGTAGGGGCGAGGGAGGAATGTGGTGCCAAGATTGCCAAGTTTATTGCTGTATTTGAAATATTCTGTCTTTGGTGACAGCATGAGATTGACTCTTATGATGACCGATTTCAATCTGCGGATGAGACTGGTCGAGAACTACTGGAGGGAAAGCACGAAGCCTCTGATGAAATTCGGGAAAAGGTAATCTAGTTTGTCAGGACTTGTTCAATTTATATAAGTACTTCACACTCATTTAATCATACAATAGTACTGTAATCTCAGAACAGGAAGGAGAAGGAAGCCATCTAAACATGCCACCCATTTGCATACTACTTCCTTTCTTATATTCTTTAGCTAAACTTAAGGATCTGGAACCAGTGCTTGTGTACCTGTGACCTTTATGCCATCAATTTTCTGTTTTCCATCTAATTTAAAATCTCCATACCATTTTGCTCTTCTGTATATGCTGTTTTGATACATTCCCATGCTCACCTTCACATTGTAAATTCAATGGACTCTGGCTTATTAATAATATTTGGGCTCCTCAGTGTGTCAAGAACACAGCCCGGCCCATGGTTGACACCTACACCTTTTCTTCTCTCCTTCATATAACATTATTAAGCTATGACAAAGTTTCTCAAATTTTAAATACTCAAACTTCTACTGAGTGAGGAAATCCTAACCTGTGGATCACAGGAGCCCTGTCTTAATCCCCTGGCATAGAGAGATTTTGCTCTGTTGATAGCATGCAGGCACTCTTTGGAATGTTAATCACAGTAAGATTCTCACCCACTTTTAATCTCACTAGATTCCAAACACAGCCTTCAACTTTGTGGGATGAATGCAATTGAAATAACTGTGTTTTTAGTTTTTCTAGTATTCTATGGAAAATTTTTACTATGGTTTTTGTTTTGTTTTGTTTTTGTGGTACCAGGGATCGAACTCAGGTCCTTGTGCTTGCGAGGCAGGCGGCAGAACCACTGAGCCAAATCCCTGGCCAACTATGGTTTTATTCTTTGACAAAACTCCAAGCCTGAAAGCTTAGCTATTATTATTACATATTATTATTATTTCAAGATTCTGAGAATATCTGTTTTCATTTTTGAAGGAGTTAATAGGAATAGCTATGATAAACTAGAACTTCTTGGGCAGAAACTTGTTCCAGAAACAAAGACTTTTTCTGTGTGTAAGATTTTTTTTTTCTTCTTTCCTTGATGGTTATTTGTTTTTAGAATAAAATGCTAACTTCTTAGTCTGACATTTTAAATCCTCTGTGAACTTCAACTTAATAAAATGTCTATGCATTTGAAGGCATTTAACTTTTTATCTGGAGCACATTGTATAATCTAACAATTACTTGATATCCCAGTAATATCATTTGCTCTTGGTAGTATGTTTTCCTACAACCCTGATA